AAACAATTCAATACATTTGAAGACAACTCCTATGTCGGGAATCCTGGATTGTGTGGAAAACCTTTGTCTAAGGTTTGTCGGAATTCAGTGGCAACATCATCTCCATCAACGAGTGATCACAATAAGTCTGAGTCCCTCAGCTTCCAACGTGGAAGAGTAGATTGGATGGTCATATCTTTGGGACTTGGAAGCGGAATGGTGGTTGGAATTATTATTGGGAACATTTTATATACAAGGTACGTTCAGAGCTTCATTGAGCGATTCAGGAAGAAGAACGACGGTTCGATAAGGCCACTAGGTTACCGGAGGAGAAACTAAGACGAATAGTCGCATTCCTTTCCATCCTTGTATCTTTCAGTTTATACATCAAATAATAAAGTGTTATATCTAAAATTATTACAATAGGTTTATCGGATGTTTTTTGGACGTTGTAAAATAAAATCTCGTATTACATATTTTATAGAACACAATTTGTACAATTGTCGTACAAACAAAACTGTCCTGTATAACTTTTCAAAATTTACTTGAAAAATAATTAATACAACACTTTACTTTAAGAATGTCCTAATAAACTAGTAAAAATTCCTAAAAGCGTCGTATAAACATTTTGTAACACTTTTAGATAAGATTTTTATTGTTTGGTCCTGTAAGCCAAAATCCTATATAACATTAATGCTTAGAAATGTTAAGCATCCTATAAACCCAATTTTATCGTAGTGATAGTATTCAACATACGAAGCAAGACAATAAAGGAAAAAGAAGTTTGTGACACAAAAGTAAAAACAATTTCTTGGAATGACATTACGAGGGGCAATGGCAAAAAGAGGGGAAAGGACCTCAGTCAAAAACTCAACAAAAAAAAATCATAGGTTAAAATTTAGGTTTTATATAATTTACCTTTCACTTCCCCCCATTACATTTTTCCACGGACTCCCAACCCCAATCGAAATCGTTGCTCTAACCAAAAAAGTCTGTTGAAGTCAATCAAATAAACCAAAAAAGTTATTCGAAATCGACAAAAACACAACAAAAAAAATCCCTCGAAATCAACCCAAAAACTTTAAAGTTCTCCTAGAAATGTTGTAATTAGGTTAAAAACATACCGGACGATTTTGCAGGTCTTTAATCTACCTTAAAGGTGACTCTGCTGAACAAAAATCTTGAATCCATCACTGGGCGTTACTCATACATTTCGTTGGTAGTTAGATTAGAGATTCAATTATATTTCTTCACTCATGCATCATAAAACATGACCTTACACCGAACCTTCTTGCCCATGTCTTGATCGTCTAGGGCATGTATCAATTCCTTTTTCTTTTTTTTATTAACCTAGATATACAATCCGTTATGCAAACCGATTAATCCTAAGGTGACCATCTACTTTGCAGATAGCCCAGAGTTACCATATTTGAACCTTCACGACAACAAATGAATTTTTATTTCTCCTTTCTATGATTCTAATTAGATTCTTATGTTTAATTGAAATTAAGTTTGAAAAAAAAAACCCACGTTTCGGTCAAACTACTTGAAATGTGTTTTTGCTACTATCTCAACTTTCAATCCCTATTAATGTAGCTTTAAAAAAGCAAAATTATCAACCACCATTAACGTATATGCATCGATCCTGGCAACGTTTCAAAGACGTTTTCTTCTTTTTGAAATGAGAATAAACTACTCTTTTTTTTTTTAATTTTCCACAGGTTTATATTTAAAAAGCTGAAAGAATCAATCACCATTGACATAATATGCATAAGCTAATTTTCAATGTCGTTTTCTTCTGTGTGTAATATACGAGAACTAAATCATTAAGAGTGGTGTCCGATTGGTTTAAGCTAGGCTCCAAAGGTCAAAAGTACTTGGAGTCTCATGTTCAAATTGAAAAAGAAATAAAAATCCTCTTGTGGCTACGGAGGTTTAAATGCGGTGACTTCGGGCTTTCTGCAAAGCAGGTGGTCATCTTATGATTAGTCTGCTCGTATAGCGAGTTGGATATCCAGGTTATCAAACATGGATATCCAACTCGCTATGCAAGTGTGTGTGTGTGTGTGTGTGTGTGTGTATATATATATATATAGAGAGAGAGAGAGAGAGATGAGCGATCAAATGAAAACCGCTCTTATTTGTGTAAACCATGTAAACCAATCTCATACATCCACTTTCTTGATCAATGGTCAAGATTAGTTTAGGTTATATTAGGAAATTAATAAAAAATAAGAAATTATTTTATAATCCCAAAAAGGGCAAAATGGTAACTTTGGTAGTGGTAATATTAATGGCAATCATATCATGTATATCGTAATATTAATGAAACAAAATCATTTGTAAAATAATATATTAATTTTATGTTCAAATATTATAAAAAAAATAACATTCATCACTAAAATAGATTAACAATAAAATAAAACACACTATAATCAATTTAACATAATGAAACCTTTTGAATAATAATAAAAAAAATTACTACAACATTTCATGAACGAAATGGTTTCACAGTTTCATCAATATACAAATCAACATGATGCTAGATGAGACATTTGTCATTTTCAAGTTTTCGGTAGATGGATCCGTTTCAATATTATGAAATGGTTTCACTGTTTGCTAATTAAACAACATGTTCTTAACAATTAGGAAATGGTTTCTATGTCGTTATGCACCCATTTCGTCGAAATGGTTTCACGGTTTCATCAATACACTAATCAACGTAATGTCTGATGAAACATTTGTCATTTTCATGTTATTGGTAGATGAATCCGTTTCATCATAATAATGAAATTGTTTCACTGTTCGCTAATTACACAACATTTTCTTATCAATTATGAAATGGTTTCACTTTCTTCATGCACCCATTTTATCAGCCAATTTCTTCCGATACGAACATGTTTCATAGAGTCAATGTATTTACCATTACATGCTTTGTTAACCATTAAATGAACAAACCAAAAAAATGAAACAATTTCATCAATAATTGTTGATAAGAAAACAAGATTATGCAAGAATATTATATTACGCAACCATTTCATCCCCAAAAATTTCATAAAACAAGCTCTTCAATGAACGTTTTTACGAACCAATCTGCATACGTTTCATAAAACAAGCTCCCCAATGAACGTTTTCAAGAATCAATCTGCATACGTTTCATAAAACAAACTTCTCAATGAAGCTTATTAAATTAACCACTTTCTATATCATTAAACCACTATCAAACAATCACAAACAGTCATGTATGACTGACTAAATAAGGTATAAATCTTATTAAAATTATTAAACTAGTAACAAACAAACTCTAAGGGGGCATTTGGTTCGTCATAATCTGTCGGAATCGAATGAAATTGGAATGGTCAATTCCGCTTACCAAATTCCGTTCCAACGTTTGGTTGCCCATGAAATGAAATTGAAT